CTGTGTGGACTGTGATGTATACTCTGCTCTTCTGGGGGGTCAGGGCCCACTCAGGGGTGTGCACAGGGCAGTGAGCACTGTGCAGGACTACAGAGCTGAGCAGAGTGCAAAGTGCAGACTGCAGGCGGTGCAGGGTGAGTGGGTGACAGAGTGAGACTGTAAGAGGAGTGTAGAGTTGTGGATTCTGACACTCGGGCTCTCAGCCACTCAGACTGTAGAGTGTCGAATTGTCGATAGACGGTTTGTTTGTGACAGACTGACTCAGAGACTGAGTGAACTGACAGACTACACTAGAGAGAGACAGTAGACCCAAGGCCAAGAGTCAAGACTTTACATCTTTAAAAAAGGTATTTATTTACTCTTTTTGTTGTATTTGCCAGAAAAAAAAGAGGAGAGACGTTAAGACTGGTGACTGCGAGTCTGCGACCACTAAATACTAATAAAAGTCTGACTTTTGGTTTTGCAACCGCTACATAGTAGTACAAATCTCAAAAAAAAGTATCTGTACTTCAAAAGAGTCCTAACCTCAAATCGCTTTCCGTTAAAACTTTTATAAATCGAATAAAACAAGGTAGCTAATAACTTTGAATATATCCGCACAGGGTGAGCTAAGGCCTGAGGGTGAGATACTGGGAACACCCCCCCCGCCTAATTTTATAAAGCAACTTTTCTTTTCAGCCGTCAATAAACGGACCCACAAAGGTATGCTCGGCCTACAAATGGGGAAAAAGCGTTCTAGACAGATTTCAAGATCAATAAAAGAACTAGGGACTCTACAGCCACGCTTTCGGTGATAAATATACGTTTACGTCCAACTTTTATTCTATACGTGGTCCTTGTGCGCTCATAGGTGCACCTTGCGAGTCTATACATTTTGTGTTTACTGATATTCCCATACAGACCAGTCCTATAGAATAATTTAGGTAGGTTCTTCTGATCACAATATAACCGTTATAACGTTTTAAAATTGAATAAATATGCGTTTACGTTCAACCACTATTCCATACCCCAATGACGGCATAACGTAATGACCTTAGATTTAGACTCGCTGTGAATTCTGGAATGTTTCTTTAATTGTTTTAAAAAATCTGAACAAGTTCTGAACATACTTTAAAATATTTTCATAATTTTTGTAAATATATTTTTGCTTTTGACCAAAAGTGGGTTTTTTTATAAAGACATGCAAATACGTTCATCGGTTGTCTGGTTCACTACGGGTTCACGAATCACGTTAACTTCACGTTTATTCTAAATTAAAAAAAACCCAAATATGCCGTGAGGCATCAACACATCAGCCAACAGGCTATCAGGAGTTCAGGACGGCCGCGGGCGTGAGCCGTGAGGTCGTTAGTCGTTACTCCCAGAGCCCTATGACGTGAGCGGTAAGCCTCAGCCGTTACACAGTCGCACTATTAGTATAGAGCTCTCTCTCTACTACTCTCTATATGAGAGAGAGTCTACCTTCTAGTCGAGAGAGAGAGTCTAAATAAATATTTAGTAGAGAGAGAGAGAGAGCGAGAGAGAGAGAGTGAGAGAGAGAGAGAGAGAGAGAGAGAGAGAGAGAGAGAGAGAGAGAGAGAGAGAGAGAGAGAGAGAGAGAGAGAGAGAGAGAGAGAGAGAGAGAGAGAGAGAGAGAGAGAGAGAGAGAGAGAGAGAGAGAGAGAGAGAGAGAGAGAGAGAGAG